CACTCAATGCCAGGAAGCAGGATCAGTGTCACCTACAACGACACCTTCCATCCCTCCCACCCATTCTACTTTCCTTGAACTATAGGTTTACCTGCTGCTTTTTTTCTCCCTCCAGCTCAGTGAGGATGAAGTGGACACAGAGGGAGATGGGCATCCTTGGTGCAACTTGAGGCTATTCCCTCTTATCCTACTGCTTGTTACTTGGAAGATGAGACCAACCCCCACCTCACTACAACTTCCTAAGGATGGGCAGGTGCTCAGCTCAGTATAACACAGTGGTTGGTGCAAAGTGGCACAGAGCAGCTTCTCGCAAGTCCAAAGGACTCTGTTAACAAGCTGCTGTCTGCAATGTGTGTGGAGCAAGGGACATTACTGAACAGGGGCACATCTGCTAGGACATCATCCTGGCATGCTTCTGGGTTGGCCTGCGATCATCCATCACAAAACACTGTGGGAATTTCTCAGAGAGACAGGAGAAATGTCATTACCTGCAGCCTTTAAGTTTACCAGTACAAAGACTGCTATTTAATGAATAGGGAAGGCATCCTGGTTTTGGTATTGGACCAGAAGGATCCTGCCTTACAGAAACCTCAGATACTATTTAAGCACAGAACTGGAAAAATAGGTGACAGAGCCTGTGGATCATTAAGCCATGGATTATTTTGTTTTCAGAATTCTTTGGCTGATTCAAATGGGTTGCAAATAATATCAGCTATACATTATCAACTCTATTTTAAACATTAAAATGCTTCATTGCAAATAGCTATCACATGGCCCAAAAAGAAAATCAGTCCAGAGATGAAACTCAAAGGATTCATATTTCTGCACCGATTTAACAGCTTTTCTTTAGGAGATGCTGGTGTAAAACATTAGAAAGGGAGAGGTTCATACTAAGTGTTAACTGCAGTTATTCTTTACATGAAGTATTTTTGCTTCACTGTAGCAAGTTGTTTTAGCACAGATTTCTCTTTAATCTTTTACTTCAATCCACCAATTCCCACTGCATCATGAGTGGTGAAATGCTTAAAAAGTCACAATGCCAAAAACTTTACATCACAAATAGATAAAATCAAACAGTATATGGAGGAAGAAGGGGAAGATGCACAGAAAAGGAAAGTATCACAGATGGATTGAGGATATAGGTCTGTTATTTGCTCTTTCCCATACTCTCATACCCATACATTCAGGTTTCTCTGCTGCTGATGGCATGAATTATGTTTTACAGCTACTAAGGAGAGTTTGCAAAGTAAGTAGACCACTGGGTCTAGGATGAGATGCATAGGGACTGGGAATGGCTCTAAGCCATTATTTGAAATAATGCCACCCTCTGCGGACAAGCAACAGGTCTGAGTAATTGAAAGTAACACCTGGGCACTCTCAGAGCCTTCTCCAATAAGTCTGGGGAAAACAGAAGTCCTTCCCTTCACAAACACCCTCACTTTGGCCAGAAAAAAGAGAGGGCTCAGAAAGCAGTGAACACACTTCACACTACCAAATCTCCAAGTCCCTCTTCTAGGAAATTTTGCACAAGTTAAGAGAGTTTCAGGAGAAGGGTTGAGGAGCAAAGGGGAGCCCTGGCATCCCTGCTGGGGGAAGATGGCTCTTGGCACAGGAAAAGTGACAGCAGCAGCTCAGCAGCATATTATATTGGCTCTGGGAGCCCTTCATTGGCTGTGCACCCACCACTGCCTACAGCAATAATCGAAGAATTGTTTGGGTTGGAAGGGACCTTAAAGCTCATCTCATTCCAATGCTCCTGCCACAGGCAGGGACACCTTCCACTAGACCAGGTTGCTCCAAATCCCATACAAACTGGCCATGAATTGTGTGAGAGCTGCTGTCTCTGTCCCCAAACAGGAGAGAGACAGTGGGACCCTGCTGCAGAACCACCGCAGAGGTAAGTAAGGCAGACATCAGCATACCCTCTGGCCTGAAGCAAAGGCAGCAAACCTCAAGCTAAACCTAGACAAGGAATACACACCCCAAGGTTAAACTTAACCCTGCAATGGCATCACTATGTGGGAGATGAATTCTTGGGGGGAGCAAACTGCATTGTAAATTTGCTAAAGCTAAACCCAGAAGTAAAGAGTATACATTTGCACAAGGATCCTGGGTGAAACTTGGAATTCAGCTTATTTCAAGCGGAGGTTAAGAACAAGGAGGGAACAACTCGTGACTTGTCGGGATCATGGGAGTCTGGACAAAGCAGGGTGCCAGGGGATACCACCAGTGCACTCATCCACCACCAAACCTTGGCACCAATGCTCAGATGATTTCAAAAGAAGTAGGTTCTTTGCTTTGTTTTTACACCTAGGGGTGACAAGAACTAGTGAGCACAAGGGCTAAGCACAGCTGGCTTGCAGGCTCCAGGTTCAGGTGGAGGAACTGCCTCGAGCTGGGAGAGCAATGGTCTTGTTTGGCACCCCCTTAGGCAGATTGCAAGGATTTCATTCAGACTGGTGAGTTAATAGCACTGGAAATCCATGCCGTCTTGCCTCATCCTATACATGGCATGGGTTTCGGAGCCCAAATCTGCAATCCCCTCACTTTAGCTGGAAAATGGCAATACTCTGATTCCCTCTGGTGTAATTTTCATATGACCGACCACAGAACTATTAATATCTGAACCCACAGCTGGCTCAGTTAAACAACTCACTCCCTCCAAGGACAGGAAAACCACAACTTCTTCCATCCCTGGAAAAACAGTTTGTGACTGCAAGACCAGCAGTTCAGATGTAATGAGACAGTCCCGGTTTGCTGATGCACTTCAGGAGAGAATGTCAACCAGCATGCGAGAGTTAGGCTTTGTTCTTCTGTGTCTCCTTCGCATCTCCAGGAAGGGTGAGTTCTGAGCCTGCTATCAATCCCTGTCTAACCAGGGCTTCTCCTCTCTCTCTAGTCAAAGTGCCAGGGGTACAATGATACCAATTGCCTGATAGAATAAATGCTGCAAGAATTGTGCCATCCATCACATTGCTTAAAAGGATCCTGAAATTCCAAGTGCAGGTGAGAATACTGGAGAAACTCAGACTTGACTTACTAAGTGTCAGAGAGGTCTTCGTGTTGCTTTTTTTTTGCCTTTTTCTTTGATTTTTAAACTTGTGCAGAGTGTTCTTCTAACTTTTTCCCAGCATTGTCAGATGGATGCAACATTTCCATTACAACCCAGAAGTGCTGTTTCACATTCCTAGGAGTTATGCAACAGACACAATTTTCTCCAGTTCCACTGAGCACTTAAGTTCATGTATAGCTTCAAATATGCACTTAAAATCCATTAAACTCGATGTGATTTGCTTAGATACGCTATAAAACAGCATTTCCAAGAGCAAGTCTAGTGCCTGGGGTGGTCCTCTGTTCTTGTTATTGTCTTCACAATCTTTTCATTGACAGACAGCAGAAATTCTGACCTGATAACTCCATTTGGGAGTTTCCTTCTGTAAGGTATGCAGACTATTTGCCTGTGACCTTCTCTTTTTCTTGTAAGAGCTACAATTCCAGGAACAAATGGAGGCTGGTTATTAGCAAAAGGAATCATCGAAGACTCATCATGCTGAAGCTTTAAGGTTAAGGTTAAATTATGCACAGTATGCTGAAAAACATCTTCAGTCACAACCTGGGCAAACCATGTTTCCATGGAAATGGGTGGAGCTGGTAACATTAGAAGCACTTATTTTAAATGTTATTTCTCATCTGGAAGGCAGGGGGATGTTAATGTGCTTAAAAAGTGTTCTTTGCTTAATATTTGAAACAAAAAAGCAAACTAAAGATATGGCAGAGAAAAGTAAGTCATGCATTCAAAGGCACATGATCTCCAGTTCTCCAGAAGTAAAGGTTACAGTGACATGCTGTAAAATAAGCCAAAAGAAAGCAATAGCAATTTCTGTTTTCACTGCCAGGTCCTTGTGCTTAAAGTTTATGAGCTTCCTGGAGCTTCTACAGACATATAGCCTTGTATATTGATTACCTGGGCTGGAAAAGCCAGCCCAGATAATATACTGGATCAGCTGGAAAAGCCAGCCCATCATTATGCTGAATGACAAGGCAGCCAACACTCCAGATCTCAGTAATCAAAATACTGGCTTGGAGCTGTTACCAGGAAAATAGCTGAATGGCAAAGAACCAGCCCTAGGATGGCCTTTGTCCATTGTGCAATACACAATAGGTTAATACACTGCACTGCCACTGAGGTATTTGTCAAGAGTTATGGACTACGGATACAGGAACAAGAAACAAATCTTATCTTTGAGTATACTCGAGTAATCTGACAGCTGAATGCCCACAAAACACAGTGAAGCCAGCTAGACCAGTGATGGGTAGAACTACTTACAGGACACCTTTACATTTTGCAGGTATTCTCAGCTACTCAGCTCCTGATTTAATGAAGCCATAAAGTGAGTTTTGTAAGACAGGAACATTGCCACAGATGTTTCTGAAGCCACAATCTGCTGCTACAGCTGTTAATACCAGGACAATCAGTAGATAGACTGTCTATATCTATATATTAAACTAAAAGAGGGGAGATGTAGATTAGATATGAGGAATAAATTCCTCCCTGGGAAGATGGTGAGGCACTGGCACAGGTTACACAGAAAAGCTGTGGCTGGAACGGTTCAAGGCCAGTTGGATGGGGCTTGGAGTAACCTGGTCTAGTGGAATGTGTCTCTGCCCATGGCAGGTGACTAGAACAAGGTAAGCTTTAAGGTCTCTTCCAACCCAAACCATTCTGTGATTCTGCAATCTATATGGAAAGCACATTCTACAGGCACTGTTGGTTCTTGGGAAAGAGAAATTTGAGAGACACTGAGTTTTCCCAATATACTTCAAAGGTGGGGAGCATCCATTTGAGTGAAGGTTGTTTTCATCAGGGGGCAAAAACACAAAGGTGAATGGAAGTGGAGGGACAGACACTATCTCTTCTCTCTAGCAACAAGTGACAGGACTCAAGGGAATGGCCTGAAGTTGCGTCAGAGGAGGTTAGGTATTAGAAAAAGGTTCTTCACCCAGAGGGTATTCAGGCACTGGAACAGACTTCCCAGGGAAGTGGTCACAGCACCAAGCCTGACAGTTCAAAAAGCATTTTGACAATGCTCTCAGGCACATGGTTTGATTCTTGGGGTTATCCTGTGCAGGGTGAGGAGTTGGACTCAATGATCCTTATGGGCCCCTTCCAACTCCAAATACTCTGTGATTCTGTGAAAATGATCAGACTGGGTCTTCTCCTCAGAATGTGCTAGGATTTATGGTGACAAAATATGATAAAGAGAGCAAAACCCCAAACACTTGTGACAACTCCACTGGGAAACCAGCATTTCCCTTACCAGGACAAGGAAGATACTGGCAGCTAGAGCCCATGCAGTGCCAACCTGCTCTGTTAACAGGGAGGGGTTTTCTCTACTGTCAAGGCCATCCGCCTTCCTACGACAGGAGTTGATTCAAGGAACCTGCCTGTTCTCACCAGCCTTGTAGGATGAGTATCTTTAGGTCTTTATTCAGAGCCTGTCACATCTGATATGTAAGACGCTCTCTGTGATGACAGCAGCACTGGTCATGAGAAACATTAGCTGTTCCTGCCTTCCCGAGAGTTGATGCAGTCACAAACTGATGAATGTAACAAATACTGTAGCACAGGAGTGTGTTTGTGCATGCATTCAAATGCAGAGCTGCTAAACTTCAGGCACTTCAGTGCCTACAGCAACCAGGTTTATGAACACATGCAAGATTTATTTTTAGCCTTAAAAAAGAAAAAAAGACAAAAAAATGTCTGTTTATTCAAGAACATAATGCAGTAGCAAAGGATATGGATCTCCTGAAGCAGGCCTAGAGGAGGCCACAAAATGCCCTGAGGGCTGGAGCACCTCTCCTATGGAGACAGGCTGAGAGAGCTGAGTCTGTTCAGCTTGGAGAAGAGAAGACTCTGGGGTTACTTTAGAGCCCCTTCTAGAGCCTAAAGGGGCTCCAAGAGAGCTGGGGAGGGACTTTGGAGAAGGGCCTCGAGGGACAGAACAAGGGGGAATTGCTTCACAGTGACAGAGGGCAGGGTTAGACTAGATATTAGGAAGGAAATTCTTGACTGTGAGGGTGGTGAGGTACTGACACAGGTGGCCCAGAGAAACTGTAGTTGCTCCATCCCTGGAAGCATTCAAGGCCAGGTTCAATGGGGCTCAGAGCAACCAGGTGTAGTGGAATGTGTCACTGCCCATGGCAGTGGGGCTGAAATAAGATGAGCTTTTAGGTCCCTTCCAGCCCAAACCATTCTGTGATTCCAAGATCTCTTTTGGCTTCTAGGTGTGCAGTCCAATGGATGGTCTGTTCATGTCCCATCTGATGCTACGGGTGAACTTGGGAAGATGGTAATTCTGCCCTGTACTTTCACACACCCCTACAAAACATTTGACCGGAGTCTCACTGCCATTTGGAGGATCAAGGAACCTTACAATGGCACAATAGTCTTCAAGTGTGTGAGTCAGAGCGCCAGTGAGCTCTGTAAGACTGCCATCAGCTACAAGAACAAATACAAACTGCTTGGCAACCCCTGGCACAAGGACCTTTCCATCAGGATTGACAATCTGACCTGGACCGACAGTGACAGATACTTCTGTCGGGTGGAGCTGGATGGAGATATCCATGACAAGTATGAAAGCA